ATATACATCAAAGGCACAATGCACCCCCCAGAGACACACATGTATTGAGTGTGATATTTTGCATAGGTCATGTGAAATCATCTTTACACACTTGAAAACTGTAGGAGCGGCAACTTGTTTTGAAAATTGAATTTTTGATATCCGATAATAAAGTTGATCTTTTTTCTTTATTCTTCTCTCTTCCCAGCTCCATCCATCACCATTCTCTGTTCCTGCAGGTCCTGCTTGCTAATCAATGCTCATATCTTTTTAAACAATTACAAATAAAGTCAATGTATTGTATGACATGAAGTTGTGCTTCATTCGGAGTCAATAATAAATTCATTCTGCCTTCAAGTGCACAATGATTGTGGACTGCACCAACATCCATGTAGCTGCCCCCCAGTAAGATGAACCAAGCAAAGTTGACATACTCAACATACAGCTGTGCTCTTAAGTTTACATGAAACATTTGTGAAATATTGGTAATTATTTGGAAAAAATGACTGATGATGGAGAAAACTTTTCTTATTTAGGAACAGTGGTCAGTTGAAGCCATTTATCACTACATATATGTGTCACACATTAAGAGCTCTGTCTTACTTCCTCGCTCTTGGTCCTCTTCTACCTGGAAATAAAGACAACCAAAACACACACAAGCTGAATGTTAAAAGTGCTTCACAAGATAAATAGAAGAGTGCAGACTGTTTAAACTATGGGTAGGGGGACTATTTGGCAGGTTTAAATGATTATTAGTAATTAATTATATCATTTTCTCATTGTAGACGAGCAGACAGGGAGCCAGATGAGAAATGCAGAATATGCAGCTGCCATTTTCCACATGGAAAAGACAAAGGGCCAAGTTTATTTGGGTGAACAAAAGAGAAAGGGAGCTTAGCTGTAAATCAGTCCACCGACCAGCTACACCAAAGGGCCTGAGTCTGCAGGCACTGACCCCGAACCCTCCAGCGTGCAGTCCTCAGACACCGACGCCGAACCTGGACCCTGCAGCGTGCAGTCCAGTTGTTCCGAATACCTGGCAGGGGATAATTGTGAATGGCAAAATATTCAGCAGCAGGCTTACCTGATGATGTCATCCGAATGGAAACAGGGCTTCCTGATCAGGCCATGTTTAAAAGGGTGGCAGGCCATGTTTAGAACATGGCCAGCTCTTTTCACAGAAAGCCAGGTTTGTTTGTCCTTTTGTGTTCTAAATGTAATGTTCATAAAATGTAGTTATATCCTCATACCTACTTAAATATCTGATTTTATTAAGATATTACTGCGAGAAGTGCACAGAGGCATCTTGAAAAATCAGATGGTGAAGCAAGCAAAAGCTGTCTAAATAAAAAATGCACTTATTTGTTTCACCAAGGACGATTTTATTTGACAGTTTTACATGGTTTGTTCTCTTTTGTGTTTCAGGTTTATTGCGAGTTCAACAGAGGGGTGGGGGGAAATCTCAAGGACAACTTCTTCGATGCACTTGAACGTTTCTCTCCGAGCCTGATGGACCTCTTTAGAAAGAACATGGGTGTCACTGGCCAATTTCTGTCTGAGCTTTTACGTCAAACAAAGGTGGGTTTACTTAACATCTGTCTACCCAATCTCTTTCCTCTCTCCTTGTTCCTCTTCTGTCCCTTTGACTTCCTTCTCATCTCTTATTTTCTCTCATTTGCTGTTCTCTGTCTTCTCCTCTTGTCCTGTCAATTTAATTTCATCTTTTCATGTGTCATTGTTTCCTCTTTTCCCTTGTTCATTTTGCTTGTTTTGTCTCCTATTCTATTCTTTGGTCAAGAAGAAGTTATGGAATTCTGTTCTCTCCCTTTTCTATTCTCTCCTATCATGTCATCTCCTTGTGTCCTCTCCTTTACTTTCAAGTATATTTGCAATAAAGTAATTGTGTAGATTTTGTAGAATGTATTTGATGAATATATGACCATTCTTTGTTATCTCCACTATATTCCAGACCACTGAGCCAACAGACATCAGATGCCTTTGTGTTCGGGGACTGCCAATCATCTTGGGGGATGAGCCTTCTGCCTTCTTCAAGACCTGCACCGTAAGTTACTTTAACCCTTGTGTTATGTTCACATTTGGCACTCTTTGGTAATGTTCGGGTGAAATTGACCCGGGACATTATTCAGGGTTTAAAAAAAATACGGAACTAAATTTAACTTACACAATTCCTTATATATATTGTCTTTAACCAATCCACCAACAATATAGATGAAATAGGATTAGTTTTTTTAAATACTCTTTGCTAGATAAAATTGAACAATGGAAGTGTCCATAAAAATGTAATTTATGTAAGAAAAAATAATAATCAAAGCCTTCGAGGAAATATAGCAATTTAACGGCAATTGAAACAAAAGAACCACACATCCAAAAGTATTTGGATGTGAAATATCTATAGATGATGAAACATCCATATAAATGACATAGAATAGATATAAACACAAAGCAAATATAAACAATTAACAGTCACTATTCATAAAATACAGTATATCCGAAAAATATATATATTTTGGCCATTTTGCTGGTAGATAATTGTAGTTCTGCACTATACACTGTAATGTGAGGTTATGTGTCTGTTTAGTCCTTCCTCCGGCAATCCGGCATGCAGGTGCGAGGGGTACAGTGTGAGAAAATATGAAATGTTTATACATTTCTGGAAGATCTAAAATGTTTATAATGTTCTGGAATAGTTCTGTGCACACACTACAAAGGGTGAAAATCAAGGGGAAACAGGATCAAACAGCTTCTGTGAGTGTGTGTGTGTGTGTGTGTGTGTGTGTGTGTGTGTGTGTGTGTGTGTGTGGTGTGTGTGTGTGTGTGTGTGTGTGTGTGTGTGTGTGTGTGTGTGTGTGTGTGTGTGTGTGTGTGTGTGTGTGTGTGTGTGTGTGTGTGTGTGTGTGTGTGTAAAAATTAAAACAATTCCACATGTCCTTCACTATAAATAAGCCCCATGGAGTTTCAGGTTGAACAAAAATATCCTTATATTTTTTTTTACTCATTGAAAATGGAAATCGGGTCAATTTCACCATATCACCAAATATGTTGTAGGTGAATAATGAAGATTGTCTGCAACAAATGTTCACAAATTCATGGCAGCCAAGCTACATACAAAACCATATTATGTGCACAATTTGCAACTAGTACTTGTAATGTACAGATCCAGTTATGTCGTCTGACGTAAGGCATATTTAAGGCCCATATTGTCCTTTTATTTATTACTTTTGGTTTTTATGTTGTATGATGCTTTTCATTATAAACAATGGAAGCTACTTTTTGGTGGAGGATGTAGAATTATCTGTCAATCTCTTTATTTCTCTGTTAAGATGCGGCTGTTAAGGAGGTGTACAGTCAAACTCCACTGTGTCGGAGAAAATCCTCAGCTCAACCCATCCAGTGTGGCAATCGTCTTGGAGGGGAATGTGGTGATGGGTGCACCGGCTAACCTGCCTCAGGCCTTCTTTGTCCTGTTCGGACTCATTAATGCCCTGCAACTTTCCACTTTGTTCAGCAGGTGATGTTAAACCTTGGTAAAGTTGAGCTAGCACTCAAAATTCAGACTTTGAGAAATCAGCTTACATTGTGAAACGGGGTTCTGAAAAGTTGGCTACTGTTACATATGGCAAGTATTTAGGCTTCAATATTGCATTGTCTGTCTGCAATTGAGGAGTGGATGTCAAGCAACTTCCTACAGCTCAATGCATCAAGTCTTGATCTCAGCGGCTGATAACATCGCCTCTAAAGTAGCAAGACACCTGGGTTCATTTAGTGGTAACGTTAGGGCAAACATCAAAAACCTTGGTGTAACCTTCGATCAGTCTGTGCTACTAGACAAACACATCAAACTCCTGACCCGTACCAGTTTTTTCCACCTCAGGAACATTACCAAGCTCAGGGGCTTTCTATCCAATGCAGAACTGGAGATGGCTATCCATGCCTTTATTTCATCTCTGCTTGATTACTGTAATGCTCTGTTCTCCTGCCTCAACCAAACATCAATAAACCGGCTACAACAGGTTCAAAATGCTGCAGCCAGATTACTCACTCGGTTAAAAAAAACATGCCACATCACTCCGATCCTTTCTGCCCTGCACTGGCTCCCTGTCCATCTCAGAACCCAATGTAAGATATTGGTTTACACATATAGAGCTGTCCATGGCCAAGCCTCAGCCTACATTAACGACCTTATCCACCCTCACAGGACAACCCGGGCCCTGAGGTCCTCCGAGCAAGGCCTCTTAAGGGTGCCCCGAACCAGGCTAAAAACTAAGGGGGACCTTGCCTTTGAGGCGGTGGCCCCTATGGAATGAACTCCCCCATAAACTGAAAGCCTCTGTCTCAGTGGAGGTTTTTAAGGGACAGCTAAAGACTCACCTTTTACGACAGGCTTTTGGGGCGTCGGAGGAGGTGAGATTGTAACTGTTTTTCATTGGTGCTTTATCCTACCTTTTACTGGATGTGTTTTATGCCTTTTGTTCTACATTTTATAGTTGTATTTTGTGTATTGTGTACTGTATGTAATGCACTTTGTACATTCGTGTTGAGAAGGGTGAATAAAGTTTTACTTACTTACTTTATTTTTATTGTTTTATTAAAACATATTTTTTAATATTACAAATCTTTATATGTTATTTTTTAAGTTTATTATTTTATTAGTTATTAAATTCACAAGCTAAGACTTTAGTTCCACCTGGAGTAAATTCGCAAGCTACCCTGCAAAATACAAAGTCATATAGCTGCACCTTCACCTGCTTTGATAACACTTTAATGATTATTATAATCAAAACATATATATTAATACAAACGTATTATTACAAACAAAAACATTTTCCACAACTTTTAAAACCCGTCTGACCCGTCTCATCCTTATATATCTATTATTAATAATATTGTAATTATTACTTATTTTAATAGCGGTAGTTTTTTTAATTGTTTCACCACAGGGGGCAGTGAAATGATGTTTAAAATAAAAACTAAAATCCCACGATGCATTGCGGCGATCTGTTTCTAGCTTCCGGTCCTCAGAAGCTACACGTTGCTAGCAGACGTTGATGCAGATGTTATACCGAATGTAATGTGTTTAAGAGACTTTTAAAACACATACAAAGAGTTAGTTTATCCTTGAAGGGTGATTTATCCGTGCTTTCATCCGTTAAACCGTGTTTTTGTTGCCTCCCGTTCTTTGTTCGTAGCTTTTTATACCACGTGGCTGATCGGTAAACATAAGTAAAGGCATTAACGGGAGATTAGTGTGTTTAACGGCAGTGTTTTATCAAGGAGTAGAAAGACTGAAGAACCAGGACGAAGAGGAGAGAGAGGTAACATCCTTCAGTGTGTGTGTTTGTGTGTGTTAGTTTTAATGACTTTGTATGCTGCAGGGTAGCTTGTGAATTTACTCCAGGTGGAACTAAAGTCTGATTTAAGAGTTGATTATATTTCACACCATTAATGCAGATCTCTGCAGTAACTAACGGTATTAAATACATATAGTGGAGTAAAAGTACACCATTTACCTCTGAACTGTTCTAGAAGTACAGAGTAGCATTTACATGAAAATACTCAAGTAAAGTTAAAGTACCTCTAAATGGTACTTAAGTACAGTTCTTGAGTAAATGTACTTAGTTACTTCTCACCTCTGCTATGCACCTACGAAGTAGCGGTAGATTTGTTTAGTTGTGTCTGTCGGTTGTATTGAGTTGTCTTGTTTTGTGTCAGCTTTAGTTGTGTTGATTATTTCAGAGACACAGCCGGAGAAGGAGCACTGAGAGCAGCATGGAGGAGAACAAAAAGACCCCTGGAGCTCAGGTCAGTGTGGTCAGTGAGATGGCTATCCATGCCTTTATTTCATCCCGGCTTGATTACTGTAATGCTCTGTTCTCCTGCCTCAACAAAACATCAATAAACCGGCTACAACAGGTCCACAATGCTGCAGCCAGATTACTCACTCGGTCCAAAAAAACATGCCACATCAATCCGATCCTTTCTGCCCTGCACTGGCTCCCTGTCCATCTCAGAACCCAATTCAAAATATTGGTCTTCACATATAGAGCTGTCCATGGCCAAGCCGCAGCCTACATTAATGACCTGATCCGCCCTCATAGCACAAGCCGGGCCCTGAGGTCCTCTGAGCAAGGCCTCCTAAGGGTGCCCCGAACCAGGCTAAAAACTAAGGGGGACCGTGCCTTTGGGGCGGTGGCCCCAAGGCTTTGGTACAAACTACCCCAGAAAATAAAAGCCTCTGCTTCAATAGAGATTTGTAAGGGGCAGTTAAAGTGGCTATATGTTTTTTTTTGTTATCCTCTGGAGCAGAGAGAGGAGCTGTGGATTATTGTTATTGATTAATGCATACAGACACAATCTCATACCTTATTCACACCAACGCAACTCCGGTTCAAGCTCCGCGCTAGAGCTTTTCAGGTTAAGAACCGGTTCTTCGGTTTAGCTCCGGCTCTTTTCCAGTAGGGCCTGGCTCATTTCGTGACCTCTGCAGGCAGTGGCAAGTACTTCCGACATCTGCCACAGAGGCCACTGCTCCGTGGTATCTGTGGCAAGTACTTCAACGGGAGTTGCCACAAGATGCCAGAGTAAGAGAAGGTTTACTGCTCTGCCACTCGCCTTCTGTGGCAAATGCAGCTATTTAAACCCGTATTTATCGTGTAAAATGTCGCTGTTTAGTAGTGGTGCCCGATATTAGGAATTATGACGTCATCCCGATAAACCCGATAAAAGTATTAATAGCCCCGATAATATACAGTATATTTTTTGGGTAAAAAAAAGAAAAAATACTGCGGTGTGGGTGGATTGGGATGAGGGGCGCTTGTTTTTCACTCGGCTCCTCCCGTTGTGCCAGTACTGTGGTTTAGGAAGAGGGGAGTTTTTCACAAATCCTGCGCTCCCTAACTCGTGCCTGGCTGTGACGTAAATGGTGTGCGGCCGTGAAGCCAGGACCGTAAACAAACATGTCGTCGGTAGTATGGGACTATTTCAAAGTTTCAGAGTTAGATAGTTCGCTTGCTATTTGTATTAACAAATGCAGAAGTTCCACGAGGAGGGAAAAAGGCAACGAGCTATAATACTTCCAACCTGATTAGTCGCCTGAAACATCGGCATCGCTATGATGGGGTGTTAAAAGCGTACGAAGACGCCTGCGCTGCTAAACTAGCGGAGAATCCAAAGCCAGCTGCAAAGGCACCGGGGCTTTTACCTATCAACGAGGCTTTTGGAAAAGGCAAGAAGTTTGCCAGATTTGTTTGGGAAAAAAATAAATATGGTCAGTCAAAACTGTTCTTGGCTTTGTTTTGTTCATAGTAGTAATGCTCATGTCATTTGCTCACTACTAGTCTTTTTTTTACCACCAGGTGTGCAAAAACGACAGGTACAATTAATATATATATTATTATCGGTCTTGAGAAGCAGGAAGGTATCGGTTTCAAAAAACCAATATCGTGCATCCCTACTGTTTAGGCATGACTTTATCGAACTGATCTGTACACAGGACTGATGTGCGATCTCTATTTTTCAAAAAGATTATACATTATCATTTCTATTCAATTTTACTTGGAGCATAGTTTGCTAAAATAAACAAACGTGCTATATTTATGATGAAATATTGGCGAGTGCAACGCCCTTGGCAATTGTCGCTTCTTGAGGGGAGTTTCCACTGCTTGCTACGATAAACCAGGTGTATGACTAGTAAAGACAAATAATTAACAAATAAATATCTGTATTGACACAGCAACGTGTACACTGGTGTTATTAGACTTGGCTACAGACTTAGGGCAGCTGTAACTGATTGCAGTTGCCACTGCTAGTGAGATGCTAAGGTTTGCTTTATAAATTAGGCAAAGGACTTATATTTGCCCCATGCCTTCAGCAGCAGCAGGCCATTCACTTTGATTTGATCCCGTTATGAAATGTCATCATTTCGACAATAAATAAATGCTACATAAACGTTATCTTGCACGTTTTATCGAACCATCTCCGTTTCTAACATTCAATATATTTAAAAAGAGATCTCTCTCATCTGCGTGCGGGGGCGGGGCCTCACAGACATGCTGCTGTGCTGTGCACACAGTTCTGCCGGTAATGAATATTAGGATACATTTTGTGAGGAAACTTTTCCACCAATAATTCCAATAAGTATTCCAAAATGTATTCACTTCAGGTTTACGAAAGTAACTGTATTCGGATTAGTTGTTTTTCAAATGTAACGTGAGCTGAATACAGTTAGGCTACTTGATTTTTGTATTCTGATTACGTAACGCCGTTACATGTATTCCGTTACAACCCAACCCTGTGTACAGATCATCAGTCCTGTGTACAGATCAGTTCGATAAAGTCATGCCTAAACAGCGACATTTTGCGGTGCTTTTACTCTAGCCGGAACGTTTTTTGGTGCTTAAAACTAGTATTCATTTTGTCAGCTATTTAGTTTTAGTCTTAGTCCTTTGTTAAATTTCCGTTTTAGTCATATTTAGTCACCTTCATCCTGTTTTTATTTAGTCAAGTTTTAGTCTACTAAAAGTCTGAGCATTTTAGTCTTCTTTTAGTCGAAGAAAACTAATTATTTTAGTCTACTTTTTTCAATGAAAGTCTTTTTTAGTCATCAGATTATATAGAACATTTCAGTCAAAACTAGTCTAGCCAAAACCAATAATTTGTCATTTTAGCATATATAAATAAATAAGATTATATCTTGTCCTTATTTGATGAAAAACACAGGTTGAATGATTAAGAATGCAGCTTTGCAGAGTGTATCTGGTTTGTGGTGTTTTCACCAGCTGTGTTATGGCCACATTGCTTCCCTTCTGATGAAACAATGCATTCACTTTTTTTCTCTGCCTCATTGTAGCGAAAATGGGCCCAAATATCACGTTGTTTCTTTCTCCCAAGCAGTGGTGGCTTTAGACTTTTTCGTTGTCAGTCATTTTGACGGACAGGATCGTAACATTTCCGTCATAATCCATTATTACCCGTCGAGTGCACAATTTATCACTCACTCCTACTGACGGGGGGTTATTCGGTTAACGCGAGTGCGACCACTGCTCCCAAGCCCTGTTGTTGCCATTTTATTTTCTGTTAAATAAGGTTAGTTAGACCATGAGTTAGACCCGAGTCTTCCTGACAGTTCACAGTGTGCCGCTGCCCGGTGTAATTCAAATCTACCGCCGCGCGCAGTACAGACACACAGCTGCTGCCCTGCCGCAGCACCGGAAATGGAACTGCTGTGAGAAAAACTGACTATCAGAGATGTAACGTTATCTTTGATAATATTTCGTCTCCTCATTTTTCGTCAACGAAAGTAAAGAGAGATTTTGGCATAGTTTTTATTTAGTAAACTACATTTTCGTCTCGTCACTTTTCGTCAACGATGATTTCGTTGCAGTTATTGTTTACTGCCGTCGGTGCCGTCTCGTCATCGTCTCGTTTTCGTCATGGAAAAAAAGGTCGTTGACGAGCATATTTCGTCATTGTTTTAGTCAACAAAATTAACACTACTTGAAATTAACACTACTTGAAATGAACCGGATTCCGGTGTGAACAGGAAAACCCAGTGCTTTTCAAGCTCCAGCTCCGAACTGGCCCTGAAACACCGTTGGTGTGAATGAGGTAACAGATGTAAAGAACAACAGAATAATTTCTCTGCTCGGCCAAAAAGACCTAAGAGAGAGAAAACTAATTCTTTGTTTTGTCCTTTTGCACAGATATTCAATGTGCTCTTTCCATGACAGCAGGTGGTCAATCATTACACCCAGGTGTTTGTATGAAACTCCCTGCTTGATTTGATCTGTATGGATGACAATGGGGACTTTATGGGAGTCAGATGGTGAGCCAAAAACGATTTCCTAAGTTTTCATTGTTATCAGTCCTCTCAACCGCCTGATTACAGCCTGTTGGTGCAGCTCAGGGTCGTCTGTGTTACTAAGCAGAGATATTATTGCAGTATCATCAGAGTACTTAATTATGAATTGATGTGGTGTGTTGGTACGACAATCATCAGTGTAGAGCAGGGGTGCCCAACCAGTAGATCGCGGGGAGATTCCCAGTCGATCGCGAGATGTGTCTAAAAATAGAACAATATTCTGTTTTATCGTTAATGTCCTATAACATAATCTTCCTGTGCCAGAATAATGCACTTGAACGCATCAAAGCTTTGTGATTGGCCGGCGTGACCCCATGTGTCGGGGCGTGGCTGATGGGCAGTGGGCAGTGCACTAGTTTGCTGACATTGTCTGTGTCAACAGGAGTGACAGTCCGCACACACACAAGACCGCAATTATGGCAGAAGCAAAAAAGCCCAAAATATATAATTTTCACTCCGAGTGGGAAGATGATTATCAGTCCATCTGTCTCATTTGCAATGCGAGCGTAGCTTTATCGAAGGTTAATTTAGAAGCGGCATTTCAAAACAGTGCACAAACGCTACGAGACTAAATTCCCTCCTAATTCTGCCCTACGCTCCCAAAAGGGGAGGGGCCTGAAACAACACTGTTGTGTAACTTCAGTTAAATACTTGTATGTGTGTAGATTAGAAAGAGGTAAAATAAAGGATCTGCAGTATTTTATGAAGTATTGATCGTACAAAGGTCAGTTTTATACAAGTAGAAGTGTTTATTTACCTGGCTGTCAGTAATGGCTATGCCTCTCTATTTGGACTGGTAGATCTCGGCAGACTGGCACCTTTAAAAGTAGCTCTCGGTTCACAACAGGTTGGGCACCCCTGCTTTAGAGAGTAGGGGAAGGCAAGTTTATTTATATAGCACCTTTCAAAGTGCTTTACAAAATGAAAGACATTAAGAAATGGCATTTAAAATCAGTCATTAAAAAGAAAAGATAATAAAAGAAACATTAAAAGAAAAAATACATGGATAAAAGTTACAGTGCAGTCTAAGATATGAATAGTTACATTTAAAAGCAGCAGCAAAAAGAAAAGTCTTCAGCCTGGATTCTGACTCTGGGGACAGAAAGCTGACCAGTCCCTGAAGACCTGAGAGATCTGGATGGTTCATAATTTAGCAGGAGGTCAGAAATGTATTTTGGGCCTAAAACATTCAAAGCTTTATAAACCAGCACCAGTATTTTGAAATCTATTCTTTGACACACAGGAAGCCAGTGTAAAGACTTCAGAACAGGAGTGATCCACTTTCTTAGTGTTAGTGAGGACTCGAGCAGCGGCGTTCTGAATCAGCTGCAGCTTTCTAATAGATTTTTTTAGTGAGACCTGTGAAGACACCATTGCAGTAGTCGAGTCTACTGAAGATAAAAGCATGGACAAGTTTTTCCAAATCCTGCTGTGACATTAGTCTTTTAATCCTAGATATATTCTTTAGGTGATAGTAGGCTGATTTAGTAACTGTTTTAATGTGACTGTTGAAACTCAGGTCAGAGTCCATGACTACACCTAGATTTCTGGCTTTATCTGTTGTTTTGAACATTGCAGACTGAAGCTCAGCGCTAACTTTTATACGTTCTGCCTTGGCTCCAAAAACCATTACCTCAATTTTATCTTTCTTTAATTGGAGAAAGTTCTGACACATCCAGTCATTGATTTGTTCAATGCACTTACTCAGTGTTTGAATTTGAGCATAGTCTCCTGGTGAAATGGTTATGTACATGTGTGTCATCCGCATAGCTATGGCACCCAGTTTAGAACTGTTGATGAAAGTCCCACCCAGTTTTCCAGTCGGTCTAGTGATATGTTGTGGTCAACAGTGTCAAACGCAGCACTGAGATCTAATAAAACACTGAAGTTCTGCCACTGTCTGTGTTTAAGTGGATGTCATTGAAGACCTTTTCAAGAGCAGTCTCAGTGCTGTGGTTTGGACGAAAGCCTGACTGGAACACATCCAAACAGTTATTTAAATTCAAGAAATTACTCAACTGTTGAAAAACAACTTTTTCAATGATTTTACCTAAAGATGGGAGGTTTGATATGGGCCTGTAATTGTTCATTACTGAAGCATCTAGATTATTATTTTTAAAGAGCGGTTTAATGACTGCAGTTTTCAGGGCCTGTGGAAAAACACCTGAGTGAAGAGACTTGTTTACTATATGAAGTAGATCTGAGGCCATGCAATGAAAAACATCTTAAACATCATAACATCATAATATCAAGGCAGCAGGAGGAGGATTTCAGAAGTTGTTTAATGTCCTCTAGGTTTTTATCATTAATCTGATGGAATTGTGTCATGGTGTTTGAATTGATGTTAAGTGGACACACAGACAAAACATCTGCTGTACCTGATGCAGAGGCACTGACTGCTTGTCTGATTTTCTGAATTGTCAGTGAAGGAGGCAAAATCATTGCAGGCCCTGGTGGAAGTTCAGAGGCTACTGACACTGGGGGGGGTTTGTTAGTCTGTTGATGGTAGCAAACACGGCACAAGCTTTGTTTTTGGCAAAGATGTCAGAGAAGAGAGACTGTCTTGCATTTTTTTCAATTCCAAATGATAAAAGCCAAGTCTCTCTTTATAGATGTCAAAATGAACCTGGAGATTTGTTTTTCGCCACCTACGTTCAGCTTTTCGACACTCTTTTTTCTGTTCTCACGGTCATGGCCTTTCTCCATGGAGATATTTTCTTGCCAGACACTTCCTTTACCTTAGTTGGAGCAATGGAATCTAACATTTTTTATTTTTGAATCAAAATGATCTAATAGCTCATTCACTCAGATGTTAGCAAGGGCAAGTGTGGAAGAAAAATACTGAGTAAACATTTCCCTAGTACTTTCAGTTACATATTCAGTGTGAGAAAAGGTTTTTAGAGAGTACTTGTCCATGGACAAGTGAGTTTGGCAATTTACTTTACTCCGAATACATTTTTCACTTGTCCAGAATGGAAAACAATTGGGGCCACTGGAATCTTCTTCTTCGCCATCGTATTTTACATTTTCACACGGTTTTTACGACACCGCTAACGTAAGTGAGCGTTAAGATTTTACTGCATCACACATAGGGTTGGGTATGGTTTGGATTTTAACGATTCCGCTTCTGCTTTTCGATTCCGGTTATTTTCGGTACTCGATTCCGGTTCTTTGAGAGGGTAAAAATAAGTCCCATGACAAACTGGGAGAAAAATGTTAGTTCTAAGTGAGAGAGAGAGAAACCACAAACCACGGCCCGTAAAACTCAGATTTTTTTTAAACTGCCATATTATTTGCTTGCATTAGCATTAACCCAGTGCACCAACAGGGAGAGACTAATTTATGGCAACGCAAAATAAAACATGGGATTGGTGGAGTGATGAGGAGGTGTCGGCGCCTAAGTGAGTTTTTATTGTGTTAACTGTATGTATTTATGCTTTCTGGATTAACTTTCTCTTTTTCTCTGTCCGTCTGTTTTAGAAACCGAAAGGAAGAGAGAGACGTCACAAATGTCAGCAATGTGACAAATACTTTACAAAATCTGAAGGTTTAAAGGTGCACCTGCGTATTCATACTGGAGAAAAACCGTACAGCTGTGAAGAGTGTGGAACAACTTTCACTACATCAAGTAATCTAAAAAAACATCAACGTATCCACACTGGAGAGAAACCGTACAGCTGTGAAGAGTGTGGGAAAGCGTTCACTCAATCAGGTCATCTCAAAATACATCAAGTTATTCACACTGGAGAAAAACCTTACAGCTGTGAAGAGTGTGGGAAAACTTTCACTACATCAAGTGCTCTCAAACCACATCAACGTATTCACACTGGAGAAGAACCGTATTGGTGTGAATGGTGTGGGCAAACTTTCGCTAGATCAAGTGCTCTCAAAATACATCAACATATTCACACTGGAGAAAAACCGTACAGCTGTGAAGAGTGTGGGAAAACGTTCACTACATCATATCATCACAAAAAACATCACCGTATTCACACTGGAGAAAACCCGTATAACTGTGAAGAGTGTGGGAAAACGTTCACTTCATCACATGGTCTCAAAAAACATCTACGTATTCACACGGGAGAAAAACCATACTGGTGTGAAGAGTGTGGGGAAACATTCACTGCATCATTTAGACTCCAAAAACATCTACGTATTCACACTGGAGAAAACCCGTATAACTGTGAAGAGTGTGGGAAAACGTTCACTTCATCACATGGTCTTAAAAAACATCTACGTATTCACACAGGAGAAAACCCATAGTGGTAAGAGTGTGAGAAAACATTTTCTCAAAGTATTCACCTTAAAGTCCACGAGCGAATCCACACCGCATAGTTTTGAACAACTAAGCTAGCTGTTTCCTCCTCCTGATATTTTGAGAGCTGTATTGTTATATTTGAAGAGTCTTCCTGAATTGAAGTCTGACTAACAGACTTCAATTCACAGTCAGTCTCGTTGTATGTCCCTGGACAAGCCCTGAGGTCCTGCTCAGCTTTTTAAATATCCCTAAAATCCCCCAAAATAAAATGGGTGAGGCTTTTATCCACTACGCTCCCAAACTGTGGAACACCAGGAAATATCAGAGAGGCTCAGTGGACATTTTTAGACGCCAGCTAAAGACACATCTCTTTAGATTAGCTTTTTATTAGCAACCCCCCACTTTAAATGGTCTTTTATTCTTTATTATTTACCTACTTTTATCTTATTTTATTTGATAGAGGAAGGGTTTTATCTCATATTAGTTAGTTAACAGTTTCAATAGCAACATTTATTTTTACGTTGGCTCCTTTATATTTTAATCCTTTAACCTTTATTAGAATGATGACGTTTTTATTATTATACATTTTTAGTTTTTATTTCTGTTGTACCTATATGTTCACTTTATTTTATAGGGTTTTATATTGTTGCATCTATTCACTTGTCTTGTGTCTTATCTTTCCGAGAGAAATCATAATTTTTTTACTGTATCACATTTGTTATTGTCATACCTTTTACCTCCTTGTGTATCTTAAACTGTTACAATTTTATATTTTGCTGCGTGTAAAGGTCTTAACATCTGAAGGGACTTTCTTGTTTATTTTTAGCCTTGTTATTCCGTATATAAGATATCATATCCCCAGGGTTAAACTGCTAGCCTCGTTAAGCTGCATTGAAGGAAATTAATTTCACTGTTCATTCATCTGCAGAGTAGTTTCTCCAATAATCTGTTTGGTTAATAAAATCGTGTGACTTTAAACTTCTATTGTGATGTTTTTGATAGTTCCTGTTGAGTTGGCAGTCTGTTCTGGGTTGCAGTCAAATTGTCCAAAAATCAGCTCCTATCGTCTTTTCCTATCCACTATTCCTTGACATCAGAGTGAATGCCTTTAGTCATGTTTAGTCTGTTTTTATTAAAAAAGTACAGGCTGCATAGGTGTTCTCAGCCTTGGAGAAACTTGACATGTTTTGGTATGTGTCTGAACCTCTCTTTAGTGGTTCATTAATAAAACAGATATTTTGACGTGTGCCTACTTTGTTCATGTACTGTTGAGGTTAATTTCAGTGTGTGCTATAATGTATGGCACACACAGGTCAACTAGAGCCAAACTACTAGCTTATTGGTTATGAACAAGACTTCACTTTAAAATAGGGAACATGTTCTTAGATATAAATACCTAATTTTGAGTTATTTAGACTTTATTAAGACCTATAGTTTTATGTCTTGTTACATAAGAATAGATATTTATTAAGTGTTATTATGGGAGAATTACTATTCTTGTGCTACTACCTCCTTATTTGGCCCATATGGAGCAGAGCATATTAAGACCACAACTCATGTACAGCAACTTCCTTACTTGCAATAAATAAGCACTAATTAGAGGGTTATTGAGGAAACACTCAACTAATGGCTTATCACTTAGAATATGGCATTAATAGGTGTTGTATAATGACTAAAGAGCCAATATACTGCTAATATACATGTTAATTAACAACTAGTTGATGGTTAATTTGTGTACCTTAATATAAAGTGTAAAAAATCTCCACCTACTGCCTTTGTGTGTGTTGTCTGTGTGATTAGTTGAAATAACTCAAGAAAACCACAACGTTTTAAGTCAAATATATAAGAATGGAGATTATTATTAAAAACAGTCAGAGTAAAAGGTGATCTTTGTATGGCTCCATAAATCAAAAAAATACTGCATAAAGAATCCTTTCCTGCACCTTAAAGAAAAGGAAAGAAAGGAAAAAGTCCTAATAATTATATAATCCAAGAAAAAAATATATACATATTTGGAAAAAAAGTATTTTATAGAAAACATTTTTTATTAATACATATAAAATCATAATATTTTTTGGAAAATAAATGTAATATTCCCCAAAAATAACCTGCTGTCAGAAAATGATTTGTGATAATCAGAAGCAGAGTTTAATCTCTAAGAACATTTTAGAGGTTGTAATGTGTTGATGTAACTAGGGCTGTCAAACGATTAACATTTTTAATCAGATTAATCACAGTTTAAAAATTAATTAATCAGATTAATCACCATTCGAACTATGTCCAAAATATGACATTTCTTTATGTATATTGTTGTGAGAATGGAAAGATAAATGAAAGAAGGCGGATATATCCATTTAACATACAGTAGCCTATGTATGTATGTTTATTATAACATTGTTCTGTGTGTCAAAATGAAAGTCGGCCCACACACCTATCAATCATCAAACCGTGGGGTCTTATTTCATTACGTGTTGATTTCTATCAACACAGGGGGTGGGGGTGATCTAACCGCCTTCTGGAAAAGTTTCACATGTGCGTCGGTACGCAAATGCGCTTTGTGACACAAGTGACTGTAAGCATTTCAGATTGTTGCCGCGCATGCGTACCTGCGTACCAGTTATGTGCACCTACTACAGCAAAAGTATTCTCCGGGCCCTTCTCACTTCGGTTAAATGGATTCCTTGCGTCCCTCACTTGCGTCGTTTCCCTGCGACTAGTCCCTCCCACCAGGGAAGCATGGAGAGATGCAAGGAAACCACGAGAAGCAGGGAAATTAGTTTTAAGAGCAATGGGACGTCCTTTCCTCCGGAGCGTCACGTGAAGCGACTTCCGTTTGTGATGACGCTGCACAGCTGATCGTCTGACAGCAGCTTTGTTACATTACATTACATTGCATTTAGCTGACGCTTTTATCCAAAGCGACTTACAATAAGTACATTCGACCAGGAAGACACAACCTTGAAGAAAACAGAATCATATAAGTACATCAGGTTTCATAGAGCCAAACATTTCAAGTGCTACTCAACTGGCTATAGATAAGCCAGCCCTTTATCAGTATATAAGTGCTTTGTTAATAATTCTATCGCTCGAAGTGGAGTCGAAAGAGATTAGTTTTCAGTCTGCGCCGGAAGGTGTGTAAGCTTTCTGCTGTCCTGATGTCAATGGGGAGCTCATTCCATTTTGGAGCCAGGATAGCAAACCCACGTGTTTTTGCTGATGGGAACTTGGGTCCCCCTCGCAGCGAGGGTGCAGCGAGTCGTTTGGCTGATGCAGAGCGTAGTGCACGTGCTGGGGTGTACAGTTTAACCATGTCCTGGATGTACGAAGGGCCAGAACCATTCACAGCATGGTAAGCAAGTACCAGTGTCTTGAAGTGGATTCTAGCAGTTACCGGAAGCCAGTGAAGGGAGCGGAGGAGCGGAGTGGTGTGGGAGAATTTTTGTCCTCGTTATTTCCACACACACCCGCCTCTGTTAGCACACATTTACTGACACAAACATTTGTATCATCTGTTGTAGACCCAAATAAATCAAATCAAATAAGAACTCATTCTAAAAAAAATAAACGCCATTCTTCAAATGTATAAACGAACAATAGTTTGATTAATATTGATTAGAGTGCACAATAGAAATAGAATAATTCAGAGAAGAAAAAGAGATATATTATCTATCAAAACCCAGTTAGATTAACATTAATTGGATTGCACACTTTGTTTGTTTGTGTGGATATGTAGCACATTAACATTTTAATAGCACTTAATGACTGAATGGAAATGACAATAAATGAAAATGTAAAACGAAAAAAGCGATCATGAAAATGTTTCCAAAAAATGAAGAAAATTATTTTTGACCACTTTGTTGTTCAGATATTAGTGCTGGGGGGAAACGATTATTTTGAAAACGATTAATCGGGCGATTATTTGATCGATTAGTCGACTAATCGAACGATTATTTTTCTGTTGTTCAATTCATAAAAAACGTAATGTAAAAAAAACGTAATGTAAAATTTTTTTTTTTCACGATACTGTGTCTCAGGGAATCTTAATATTTAAGAACCTATTAATGTGTTATACCAGATTAACGGAAATAATCTCAGCTAACTGACGATACAAACCATGTTTACCAAAACAAAACACAAGTCTCATAAGAAGCATCTAAATGACCCCTGAGCGAAAAATGCTAACGGACATTGGCACAGATCTCAAGATAAAAGTACCCTTATTACTTATCGTAGCTGCACATACAAGATATCCGATTAAAGCTGAGACTCCACAGATTATGTAGGTACATAGTATCATCACTGAGTGATCCGGACTCGCGACAGGGGAAGCAAATACAGTCATCACAACACGTACCTTCACAGAGCTTCTAGGGAGATCGTCTCACCGCCGTAGCTGTCAATCTGATCAAAATACGTGTTCAATGGCATTCAAATGAGAAAAAACGCGGCTGAATCGGTTAATCCATAGGTTTTTAACGTCTATGTATAAAAAAATTATTGAATTTATAATCCATAATTCCATTTTAAATCGGAGAGCAAATGCTAGCTGCTAATGGTTGCCACCACAGCTAGCTGCTGCTTCCGGTCAAGCAGCAGTCTCAGTGAGATATAAATATATAAATATCTTTGCGTTTTGGACTAACTTTAAAATATTCCCATGCTTTTGAAGACCTGGGGCGAGATGTTTTCGTTTGAGGGCTTCGTGCGCAATCCTGTGAGGAGGAGTTGGTAGCCGTTTCAGTCTCCATTGTGTTAGAAGTGCGATTGCGAACTGCTTGTTGCTTTGGGTGACCCACGTGTGTGTGGCGTCATACAGTCTATGGTGGCGACGCGTCGACGCGGAAATATGTCGTCGACGATATTTTGTGCTACAGCACTATCAGATATATCACATATTTGTAACTAAATGATACATTAATTGAAACAAAACACGGTATAAACTGAGGAGTGACTCTCATGAGGTTCATGTGCTTTCTTCACTCCCCTGGGAAACTGCATCATGTCAAGAAGCATCAGATCAGTGCATGCACTGCATCGTCCAATCAGTGAGCGATACACAGTAAGGGGGCGGGGCGAGTGTCTGACCGAAGGATGGTCTGGTGGTTCCTCGATCCTCGCTCCTCGATCCTCGCTCCTCGCTCCTCCGGCAAAAATAAGGCCATTGGGACGCTACTCAAGATGGCGCAGACAAATCAACTTCCGGTGAGACCGAGACCGAGGAGCGAGGAAATGAAAAATAAGAGAAGTGAGAAGGGCCCTCCCTCGGGACAACACCACGCCGTTATAATGATTCTGATTGGCCAGAAGACATTATCAAAGATGTTCTATTGAGAAGACGATCACTACGTGACAAAAGTTTTCAAAACCGTTTCTGGTCTTCGGTATTTCCAGACAAGTGACTACTGAAATCAATCTTACTAACTGCTGTCTGTGCAATTTACTCGGCGCGAGTTGGCGGACTTTATTTTGCTTACTTTAACATCATTTTTCATGGTGGGGCTAAGCCATTTCTTGGTATGGGTGTAGCCTACCCCAGCCATACCCTGGCGCTGCCACTGGTGGGATGTATGGGGCGGGCCAGCGCCATATAGATAGAAGAGTTACGACAACGGAAGTCCAAAAACGGTTATCGTCACGTGGTTCATGTAGATGAGGATCGTTCCCCGGAAGTTCATGGCGGGCAATGTGAATGCATTGATAACAGGAGATAGAACTACGATTTTTGGTAATTATTAGTGAATAAAGGTTTTGATTTGCAATATTTATACAACAAATTGATATGTGTATGTATTTACATCAATATGTTTTTAAAAATAAAATAGAATTTGCTAATATTAAGTGATAATATTAGCAGTGGCGTTTTTATATGCACAATAGTGGTGGTGCACAAACAACTTAGATGTCTATAAGCTTCTGCAGTGAGGTTCATGGCTGGTGAGGCACTGGCACTGACTCTTCCGTTTTACAAATATTATATT